ACATTTGCAGAAACCATGTGGATTAACATACAAATTGTGCATAAAGTACAAATAACTAGATTTTTGCATTTATGAAAAATATATTGTGGCGTTTGCCTGTGCAAAAGTTCCCACTAGGATACAAGGGTGTGACTGCTATGTGGTAAGCAAAAAATCTTTTGATGGCTTATAATGGTACAGATTTCTATGTTTTGAGGTACCGTACTAATACGTAGGGTTAAAGGGTTTATTCAAATAAACCCAAGTTGTGTTTTTGAGAATTCAATTCCAAGGTACCTGTTTTCCTGTTTGTGACAGCACTTCCTTTACGATTGAATCTACTGTGTTGCTTTTCCCAGCAGTAACTGAGGTGACTCCAACCCTGAAACACACGTGAAAGAACTTTCCTCATTACGGCAATATTTGAAAACGTTAAGCATTGAAAAACGTTCCATCCCATGATTCATCAGCGATCTGGCACCGTATAAAAATCACACATTGGTCTGCCACTGAAACTTCAGACAATGTTTTGTTTTACTGTGGTCAAATATTGTATAAGAACATTCACGTCTGATTGTGGCGCTAACTGGCAGCATGTGTTAAGTCTGACTCACTGCCTCCCTGACTCAAAACTGTTAATAAAACACAAAATACTTCATTAGTTCCACACCCGCGTTAACAAAACAAAAGGTCTGATCTAATGGAAACATCAAGCACATGAGTGGCACTGCTATTCTTTTCATGAACTCTAAAGGTTTCCTGACGAGTTTCTGTAGGCGACGAGGTTCCATCAGCATTTGTGATCCATTTCCTGCTGGCATGGCAACAACATCTAAGGTAAACCATGGGTGCAGTGTCACTCCATCTCCATGGCAACCAGACACACAACAGCAAGCTTGTCATCAGTCGTGCCATGTGTGTTTTGATGGGTTTTATATACACTCGCCGAGTGGCACACGACACTGCTATTGTCAATTTCCTTGCGATGTCTGGAGATGATTTAGGGTTTGTTTGGAAAAGCGAGAGGACTGATGTGCCATAAAACCCTTAGATAAGTAAACTGTAAGCTGTATCTCCCATATTTACATAAGAACTGCACATCTTTACGATGTGTTAGCCTCTAAAATTTTATAGAACACCATTTTGTATGTAAAAAAAATTCCATTGTGTTCTGCTTATTTATATAAAGTAACTATAAAATAGTGGTGTGCAATATGTATCGCCTACAAACAATAACAAAGTGCGAACTGCAATACCATTAGAATGCCCTCAAAATTCAAAATATGGGGACCTTAATGCCCCTCTATATGTTTTTGTTTTGTTTTTATCATATGATATAGTTTAGCAATATCACATGAGCAACAGTGCGGTTTTCCCTGAATATCAGAACAATTGCAAATGTAAAACTGATTTTATACAGCAGCTCAATAAGCAAGTTAATATTGTAAGTTACATTTTAGACACAATATTGTCTGTTGTTTGCTTTATTTCCCCAAAGAAAATACAGGAAATAACCAGAACCGCTGCGCGTCTTTGAGAATCGCACAGCGTTGTTTCATTACTGAATGACAGGGGCACATTAATGCATGGGCTTCAAGGGGCTGAAGCCCAGGAGCCTACACTGGAAAGGGGACCCACTGGCTGCAGGGAAATTATATTTTTT